GTCTCAAAAAAAAAAAAAAAAAAAAATTTTTCAATTTTGCTAAGGTCTTGTTTGCTTTTAAGTAGAAATGTGTATCTAATTTTATCAAATGCTATGTTTGAGGTTGCAGTGATATATGATTCGATATCCAAAGACCAAGGGCAACAAAGTGAGACTCTGTCCAAAAAAAAAAAAAAAAAACAAACTTTGCAATCTGATAAATTATCATTTTCTGTGCTACTTAGTGAGATTGAGTATCTGTCACCTGTTTATTGACCATTTATATATCTTTTTTGATTTTCCTATTCATGTCCTCTATTTTTTTTTTTAGAGATTGGGTTCCCACTTTTGCTCAGGCTGGTCTCGAACTCATGAGCTTACGCAATCCACCTGCCTCGGCCTTCCAAAGTGCTAGAATTACAGGTGTGAGCCACTGCGCCTGGCCTATTTTTTATTTTTTGAGACAGTTTTACTTTGTCACCTTTGGTAGAGTGCTATGGTATCACAGCTCACAGCAATCTCAAACTCTTGGGCTCAAGAGATTCTCTTGCTTTAGCCTCCCAAGTAGCTGGGACTACCGGTGCCCACCACAACGCCCGGCTATTTTTAGAGACGAGGTCTCCCTCTGTCTCAGGCTGGTCCCAAACTTGTGAATTCACACAATCCATCCACCTCAGCCTCCTTAAGTGCTAGGATTACAGATGTGAGCACCTTGCCTGGCCTCTTTGCCTATTCTTTGATGCATGATTTTATTTATTTCTTGTAGGAACAATTTGCTCTGTAATGGGCTTAGCCTGAAATCACTTGCTGAGACTGTTTTGAACTTTCCTCTTGACAAATCCCTTCTACTTCGTTGCAGCAACTGGGATGCTGAGACTCTTACAGATGACCAGGTACTTCTTTTAAGGGTAGTTGAAGAATTGAAGAGTCATTGCCTCTGAAATATAATTGGCTTTAAAAATTGAATCCTCAAATATGATACAAGTATTGGTGGAGATACTTCAAAATAGACTCACTGGCTGGTGATAGTCAACATAATTGGTCTACAATAATGTATATGCCATTTAAATAAAAGAGTAAGAGTCTTTATTTTTTGAGCATTTGCTATATGCCAGACATTTCAGAAAATATAATTTTAATACAAATACCTAATTTAAAAATCACAGTGTTGTTATAAGACTTATTTTAAGGAAGAGCAAAGTAGTTCTTTCCATTACCTCTTCTCATTCCTAATTCCTCTTTCCTTCAGAGGCAGCCACTTTCATTCTTTCTGGTGTTTACCATTATATTTCTAAATATCATGCTGTTTTGATCACTGTGCACTTGTGATATAACCTAAAGTCTGATAGAGTGATGCCTCCAGCTTTGTTTTTATTACTAAAAATTGCTTTGGCTATACGGAGTTTTTTCTGGTTCTCTATTTTTTTCTGGTTCCTATTTTTTTTTTTCCAGTTCTTCGAAGTATGATGTTGGTATTTTAATGGGGATTGCATTGACTCTGTAGATTGTTTTGGATAGTATGGGCCTTTTAATGATGTTGATTCTTCCCAGCCAAGAGCATGGTATGTTCTTCCATTTGTTAATATCTCCTGCTATTTCTTTTCTTAGGGTTTCATAATTCTCTTTGTAGAGATCCTTCACTTCTTTTGTTAAGTATATTCCTAGGTATTTCTTTTAAGTTTCATTTTGTCGCCCTCAGTAGAGTGCCATGGCATCACAGCTTACAGCAACCTCCAGCTGTTGGGCTTAGGCTATTTTCTTGCCTTGGCCTCCTGAGCAGCTGGGACTATAGGCACCTGCCACAATGCCCAGCTATTTTTTTGTTACAGTTTGACCAGGGCCAGGTTCGAACATGCCACCCTTGGTATATGGGGCCACTGCCCTACCCACTGAGCCACAGGCACGGCCCCCATTCCTAGGTATTTCATTTTCTCTGAAGCTACTGTGAAGGAATTGTATCTTTGATTAGCTTATCAACTTGGCTGCTAATGGTGTATACAGTGGCAACTGATTTGCAGATGTTGATTTCATACCTGAGACATTACTGTATTACTTGATCACTTCCAGAAGTCTTGTGGTTGAGTCTTTGGGGTTCTGTCATATCATCGGCAAAGACTGAGAGTTTGACTTCCTCTGCCCCCATTCGGATGCCCTTTATATACTTCCCTTTTCTGATTGCATTGGCTAGAACTTTCAGAACTATATTGAATAGTGTTGATAGTAGACATCCTTGTCTGGTTCCAGTTCTAAGTGGAAAAGCTTTTAGTTTTATTCCATTCAGTATGATATTAGTTGTGGGTTTTTCATGGGTAGCTTTGATCAGTTTAAGATAGTTTTTCTATTTTTAATAGAGATAGGATCTTGCTCTTGCTCAGGCTGGTCTCGAACTCCTAAGCTCAAGGGATCCTTTGCCTCAGCCTCCTAGAGTGCTAGGAGGTGTAAGCCACTGGGACTGGGCCTCTTCTAGCTTTTTTTTTTTTTTTTTGAGATAGAGTCTCACTTTGTCACCCTTGGTAAAGTGCTATGGCATCATAGCTCACAGCAACCTCAAACTTCTGAGCTTAAGCAATTCTCTTGTCTCAGTCTCCCAAATAGCTAGGACTACAGGCGCCTACCACAATGCCTGGCTATTTTTTGAGACGAGGTCTTACTCTAGCTCAGGCTACTCCTAAACCTGTGAGCTCAGGCAATCCACCTGCCTTGGCCTCCCAGGTGCTGGCATTATCGGTGTGAGCCACTGTGCCCAGCCTCCTCCTTTTAGCTTTTTTTTTTTTTTTTTTTTTTTTTTTTT